GAAAATGAGATAAGAAACCTTTTTCTTCTGTGAAATTACCTCTTGCCTTTTTTCTTTATTTAGGAAGTGCTTAGAAAAGAGATATATGGGATTGACCTGATAGGTGCTTTTTGTTATACACTTAGAGAACTTAGTATTAGCATTGTCATCTGCAAGGTTTTTTTGATTCCAGTTAAAGGAATGTCGAAAACTTTTAGTCTGTAACTCTGAGCGACCTATAATTTATAAATATCAGTGTTATTTAACATCCAAAAATTTAACTTAATAAATCCAGTTTGTATTCACTTGTTAAATGCCTTAACTCTGAATTGTCAAGCTGTGTGCCAAGGCTTCCTAGGGCGTCATAGTGAATTCACATTGTAAATTTCATTTACAATGAAACATTGTAAACTTTCAAAGGAAACACAGGTTTATTCAACATCTATCATATCCCTTGTGGACCACTAGTTCACAGTTTCAACATTAGGTCACACTACATTCCTTTTTTTTATATCTTTGCAAAACTGGTTTTTGAATGTTTGCCGTGGTAATAATGCATATACGGTACGAAAATCAGTACGGAAGAAGAAATGAGGGTGGCAGTGTCTAATCTAATTCCAAGGTTTGAGAAGTTGTACACTGACCAGAGGTGCAGGCATGCCATTAGTAAGTAACTATAGTGACCTCAATGCTGTAGACAATGTTTGTGTCCCCCCAAAATTCATGTGTTAAAATTCTAACCCCTAATGTGATGGTATTAGTAGGTGGCATCTTTGGTAGATGATTAAATCCTGAGGGTAGAACTCTCTCAAGAATGGGTTAAGTGTCTTTATAAGAGAGAGCTCAGAGAGCTCCTGAACCCCTTCTACCATGTGAGGACATAGCAAAGATGCCATTTATGAACCAGGAAGCAAGCTGTTACCAGACACCGAATCCACCAGATTGTTCTTGAACTTCCCAATCTCTAGAATTATCAGAAACAAATGTTTGTTATTATTAAGCCACCTAGTCTATAATAAATTACCATAGCAGCCCAAATGGACTAAGATACCCAGAAGGGAAATGGGAGGCGTATGGTGGGAACTTAGAAGAGAGAGGTTTTTAAGTATAAGGGCAAGATATAGACATCACTGTGCTTTATGCAGACATTCATGTTTTCCAATGGCCAATTTTTTTCTACCAGTTACAATTACCCACATCCCTCTGTGTTTTAGTATGGTGTATCACATTGATTGATTTGCGTACATTGAAGAATCCATGTATCCCCTGGGATAAACCTCTGTGTTTTAGGACCTGTACTTCCTTTGAGGTGTGAGAGTTTGGTCTTTTGCTCCTGCGGGCTTTTTAGAGGCCTGAAGAGGCTTCTCCCCTTTTCTTTTTAATGTCCTTCAGGAAATTTTGCAACCTTTACTGGTCTCTGAAATGGACGTAACAAAGGATTTTACCTTTTTAAAATAAATTTCATCCTCCTACAGGTACCATGCTCCCAGTGTCTAGGCTGGGATGTTTTAACGTTTTCTTTTAGGTGATTTAGAACATTGGTGGTCCCAAAAGCCATTAAGGGAAAACAAGAATTTGGGGTCATTTATAGTATATTATAAATTTTACAGAATATAGACCATAATGATTTAATGTAAACTAAGAAAGGACGGGTCCTTCTATCTCTTGGACTTGGAAGAGCTTGCGTCAGTGTATCCTAGAGATGAAAATAAGACAGAAAAATGATTTTTGCCTGTTTTTTGGTTGATTTTTTAAGAGTTAAGGAGAATTATTAATAATACAGAACTAGAATGACAGGCAGGCAAATGGATAGGTAGACTGACAGTCTATATTCCATACTTAAAACCACACACGTCTTCCTAAATTGAAAATTGATGAAGGGTGGAAGTTTGCCACAGAATCTTTTGGCACAGGAAAGGCTGTAGATAGGATGACATGAAAATAAAGGTATTTTCTATTGTCTATTGTCTATTGTCACAGATTTCACAGTTAGTTTGAAAAGCACTGAGATTTAGAGCAACACGGAAGTGGAAAACAACAGAAGTGTCTATAGGGCAAGGACTGAGTATACACAGGGTAAAACCTCTTGATGCCTTTACTGTTTCCGGTTAGGGGTATTTTGACTATAAAACATCTATGAAAATTTTTATACACGTCTTCTGATACTCATATACTCATTTCACTACGATATAAACTTAAAAATAGAATTGCCAAGTCCTTAGGGTAGACATGTTTAGCTTTAGATGTCCATTTTCCAAGGTGGCTGTACCATTTTACACTTCCACAAACAGTGTATGAGAGTTTCGGTTACCTGTCCTCACAACCCCTGGTGTTGTCTGTTTTTAAATTCAGCCTTTTTAATAGTGTGTAGTTGTAAATCATTTTGGCTTTAATTTGCATTGCCCTAGGGGTAATGATGTTGAGCACATTTTCACTTGCTTATTAACCATTTGGATATTCACTTCTTTGAAATGTCATGTAAGATTTTTTTCCCCATTTTTTTTTTTTTTGGCGGTACGCGGGCCTCTCACTGTTGTGGCCTCTCCCGTTGTGGAGCACAGGCTCCGGACGCGCAGGCTCAGCGGCCATGGCTCACGGGCCTAGCCTGTGGCATGTGGGATCTTCCCAGACAGGGTACGAACCCGTGTCCCCTGCATCAGCAGGTGGACTCTCAACCACTGCGCCACCAGGGAAGCCCCTCCCCATTTTTTTGTATTGAGTTTTATCCTTTTCTTCTTGATTTTGTAGTAGTTAATTATATATGCTGTGTATGAGTCTTTCATGAGATATATATATATATAAGGTATCTTCTCCCAATCTGTGGATTACCCTTTCCCTTCTTAATGGCCTTTAATGAACAGGTTTTGATTTTAATGAAATCCAACGTGTTATAATTTTTTTCTTTTATGAATAGTGCTTTTTGTGTCCTGTTTAAGAAATCTTTGTTTATCCTAAGGTTTTGAAGATCTTCTTCTGTGTTTTCTTCCAGAAGTTTTATAGTTTACTTTTCACTTTTAGGTTTATGATTTGTCTGGAATTACTTTTGTTGATGTAGGTAGGTGGTCAGTATTAATTTTTTTTTCTGATAGAGATATCCAATTGCTTCAGCATCATTTATCAAAAAGACCATCTCTTCCCCCATTGTATTGATGCCTTTGTTGTAAATTAATTGAGTGCATACATGTGGATTTAATTCTGGACTCCCTATTCTATTTCAGTGACCTGTTTGTCTATCCATAAGTATTGGCTTATGCCAATACTTCACTGTCTTATTTACTGTAGTTTCATAGATGGTCTTAAAATCTGATCCATTCATTTTTGAGATGTTTTAGAAACTGTGATAAGGTACATTTGTTTGATTTAGGGGTACAACTATTTATTATAAAATGAAAAAAATTATGTATTTAATGGAACGTGAATTAAACAGAATAAGCTAATTGTTTTATAGAGATAATTGACCTGTTTTTTAGGTTATGATAGGAGAGAATTAGCTTTGCAGAACCTTTGCTTTTAAAATGGCTTATACTTTATGCTAACCTAAGGTTAAGGGATGTTAGAAATGTACTGATATCCCAAAGTTATGAAAAGATCAGAAAGATGGTTATTAAATGTGCAAAGTGCTGTATCATTGGGAAAGAGACTTAATAAGCTTTTTAAGCCATAGTTTATAAGCATGGTCTATTCTGCTTTGTTCTAACATTCTCTCTGCAGTAATATTTTCTCGTAGCCTTATCCCTGCATCTTCTAGTGGTCAGTAAGCATCTATATTGTTTTTGGAAATTCAGAATTTTAAGCATTTGTATCAATTATAGTTCTAGCAGGAAACAGAAGATATACTCTGCTAGGATTTTAAAGAAAATTTAATGAAGTTCCTGTTTATAAACATATGATGGAAAGGGTCAAAGAATCCAACATGGCACCTGGAGACTAGCAACAGCAGAAAATAGCAACCACCTCTAGGGCTGAAGCAGCAAGAAGAAATGTTGTTACAGACTTCCAGTGAGAACTAGAGACACAGAAGATGGGCTTCCTGACAGGAGCTATGATTGTAGAGGGTTGCAGCTTAAACCAAGGAAGGAGCCGGGAAATAAATATCCTGACCTCTTTCTTCTGCCATGTGATTTGCCTGCTCGTACCTCCCATTGGACAAGTCCAACCATTAAACTATAAATGCAGTCTGTAAGGGTCAGTCTTTCAGGGTACAGCAGCAGGGAGAGAAAGGCCAAACATGTATCTGGATCAGCGGGATGGTGGCAAACAGAATAACCAGCACAGAATAGTTCGTTTTGACTGAAAATATGAGGGAAAAGCTTTTTTCTTTTGAATGTAGTAATGGTTTTCCATATGGCTTAGGGTCTAAAATAGAGAAGTTTTGTTTTGGCCAGTCTAGCCAGGTTTTTCTTTATAACATAGGGAAAGTACACACAAAACAAAAATCATTTCTGTTCAAGAAAAATTAGCTTAAATGTAGTTCAGAAGAGTGTATGAGATCTAGCATAGCTAAATATCTTCTTTGCCATTTATCATTTGAACATTTCTAAAATGTATCTTTCTCATAAATGATTTGAGAATTTTTTGCATTTTGCAATGACCGTGAATATATTTAGAAGTAATATAAAATTACATTTTCCCTCTTATAAGCTGTCATTTGTTTAAATGTCACATAACAGAACTATCCTATGTAAGTAACATTTCAGTTGATGGTAATAGAGACTTTAAGCAAAACTTTTTGAAGTGTGCTTGTTCATTTCCTTTTTTCCCAGTATGTGGAAATTTTTCAGTATTTCTTTTCACATGGAAAGAGACAAGATAGTGTGTCATGTTGTGTCTCAAAAATAGCATTTGAATATTTTAGTTCATCTACATCACACACTTTTCTGTACTACAATTATCTCTGACACAGATAATATTCTGGGAATGTTCAGTTCACATGTAAGCAGAAATATGACAGAAGGCTAAACTGAAATAGCAACTGAATTAGTTTATCATTTAAATTATATCTTTAAATACCTTTAACCTAGGTTCATGATGGTTCGTAGTGGAAAAAATGGTGACCTTCATCTTAAACAGATTGCATATTATAAACGAATTGGTGAATATCATCCAACTACACTGCCTAGTGAGAGAAGTGGCATAAGAAGAGCAGCAAAAAAATTTGCCTTCAAAGGTAAAATTAATGCCCCCAATTTTTAGTATAGAGTTTATATAGATGTTTCTCCATATGTAATTCCTTGTGGAATCCTGAGAATTTCTGTAGTAATTGGTCGTTGCTTAACAATTACCATTTAAATTGATAATGCCATTCAGTCAAAAGCAAAATAAAAATCACATGGAAGCTAACTGAAGGCCAGTAAGCGTGAAAAGGGCATTTTAAATCATAGAAAATTATACCATGAACAAAACAAAACTTACCTAAATTAATGTCACCTGCTTTTGTCCTCAGGTGATTCCTACTCCAGTGGTACACTTGCAAGCACTCGTGTCACTCTCAATGAAGAAGTTATTTGATGCCTAATATGAAAATGCTGACAAAGTTTACTCTACTTATTTTTGTGGTTCCTCCCTCTCAGTGCCATTAAATAGTCTCAGGATCATATTTATTTTTGAACTCCTAATCCCCCTGAATGAATTAAATATTTGAAAGACAGTAGAATATTTATCTTGAAAGATTATGATAATTTTCCCCTCTTTCTCCTCCTCCTCCAAAGGGGAAGAGAAGTTTGGGATGAGATAAGCAAAGAAGTACAGTCACCAGATGACTAAATGAATGTTGGTACTATTAATGGGAATTTTGCCTGTAGGTACAGAATCAGGCTTTTCTCAAAGCAGGTCAAGAAAATTCTAAGATAATAAATAAATACCTGCTTATTTTTCCCTGTGTACACCCCTTCCAGTAACTCCCTTAAGCTTAAGAACAGGCATACCTATTACATCTTAGACTAAAGAGGACTCATTCATTCATTTATTTAATCACTTATGCAACAAATGTTTACTGAGTTCCTACTGTGTGCCAGTCACGTTTTAGGCCTTGGGAACATGTTGATGAATAAGATAGATAACTCCTGCCCTTAAGTTGCTTACTTTCTAATTCAAGTAAGGAATGTTCCACTCAGCATGTGCTTAATTAAGCACACTAATAGCTTACTGGTGTATTTTGGAGTTTGAATAGCTACTCATCCACACTGGAGAATTGGCTATTCTCTTCCTGCCCTGATTACTTCCCAGCCATAGACTCTTTCCAGGTGTCTCCAAAGGAAAACAACTGCCCTGAGGATTAACGTTTGCCCACTTTCTTGGTTTTATGAACCCTATTTCCTACCCAAATCCTGAAAAACTTAAGAGAGGTGGTTGCTTACAAAAATACAGCTATGATGAAATGCTATTTTGGAAAATTCTATTCCAGAAGTTGCTTATCTGTACATAATTTATTTGCTAATTCCTGACTTTTTTAGGAGGTGCCTGCTGCAAGTATTTTTCTAGTTTGATTACTCCCATAGAAAGATAATTTTATACTCCCATATTTATCATGTGCTTTGGTGAACAAGCTAGCCCTACTTGTGTTGATAGCTACAAAACTATAGCAGCTAGTTCTACATATCTATTAGTAAGTGTAACAGCTGAGGACCTTTCAGATTGTATGGTAGCATCATCACAAATATTCTATATTAGAGGGAAAAGGATTTAACAAAAAAAACCTCATGGTTTAAAGATAAGGCTATGATTATCTTAAAACTATATAGATATCTAAAAATTTCAATTATATCTTTTTGGTATTTTTTTATTTCAGAAAAAAAGCTGTTTTATGTCGGAAAAGACAGAAAACAAAATCGTTTGGTAATTGTTTCAGAAGAAGAAAAAAAGAAAGTCCTAAGAGAATGCCATGAAAATGACACTGGAGCCCATCATGGCATATCCAGAACCCTTACTCTAGTGGAATCCAGCTACTATTGGACTTCTGTGACCAATGATGTCAAACAGTGGGTATGGCTTATGTATTTAGAATATTTTGAATAATGTTTTTGTAGTATATATCCAAAATTCATGTTTGCTCCAGATTAACTCTAGATATCACTTCTCATTAAGTACTTTTTGTCTGGGTAGTTTTTCTGCAAAACATTTAAAGGGAGTTTTATTTCCCTTCAAAAATCTTCTTTAAAATCACTGAAATATAATTTGAACTAGAACAAAGCATTATTTAAATATTTGAAAATACTCTGTTTAGATAGATTATCTAGAACCAGATTTTCATCATTGAACTATCTTGTGTAGGCAGAATTTAAATGGGGCTGAAATTTCTTTGACCAGAAATTAATCATCACCTCTTTGATGGCAGTCATACAATCTTTTCTTGAGAGGAGAATATGTTCATTATAAGTCAGGCCCCATGTGTGTCTCCTCTTTTGTCCCTGTATTGTCTTGACATAGAAAATGTCAAATATGGCAGAAACACCAAACCAACTAATTGCAAAATCAAGTTGTGAAGATAATGAAGTTAGTCTGAGTTTTGTAACTTTATAACCCATTAGGACCTCAACTTCTTCTAATAGAAAATTCACCTAGGAGTTCTGGGATTCTTGCCGCTAGGTCAATTGATCCCTACTCTTTCTAGTGTGCTCCATATGGCAAATGATAGAAATTCCTTAGTATGTATATGAGAACCCTTTAATAATCATAATAGTGCATTAAAAAGACTGTCATTTCAGGCATAAAGAATTAACCCAACATTCAATTTAACTAAGTATCATTTGTGAGTCTGTGCAGGTATTCCAAAGACCTCAGTTTTTGTATTTGCCTTTAGAACCTGCCACACATTCCTTTACAGACATTCAATGAAATCTTTGTCACATCTTCATCATTTGAAAAATGATTTTGGGAAATAAAGTTATTTGTGATGAGAATTAGTTTAAGTTAGAAAAGCTAGAAAATAAAAATTTTGATCAAAAGTAACTATAATGCAATAAGATTGGTTTAAAAGTTTTGTTCAGGACTTGGTTTGAAAGTAGTTTCCAAAGTGTAATTCCAGAAATATGTTGAACAATGGCACCATCCATATGTTGATCAATTGATCTCATCTCACACAAATGAAAGCTCCGTGACAGCATGGGCTTTGTTTTTGTTCATTCTCTTTTTCCAGGACCTAGAGGAATTTCTGGCATCTATAAATATTGTTTGAATAAAGTTATATTTTAATGAATATTACTGCATACATGAATGAATGAACTTAGTAGAGTGATAACTTTAAAAGAAAAAATTTTTTTGCTTATAGAAATTATATACTCACAAATTGATTTAAAATTATAGCAAACATGTTTTAAGATCTATTCATTTAATAAATATTTATTGATTGTAAACCAGAATTATGTTCCATGTGAATAAAACCCCTTAAGGTGGTCATTGAATAGTAGTAGCAAGTAATATTTGCTTATATTCTGAATAGGTTTTATTTTATTATGAGAATAGTCCAAAAGTTTCTCCTTCAAAACACAAAATACCTATCAACCATTTCAAAGTTCAGATTTATAAGACTGCTTTTATTATATTGAATATATTAACATTTGTATACCTTTTCTTTATTGTATGCCTGTTTTATAGGTATATGCTTGTCAGCATTGCCAAGTGGCAAAAAATACGGTTATTCTAGCACCTAAACAGCACCTTCTCAAAGTGGAGAATCCATGGAGTATAGTTACTGTTGATCTGATGGGCCCATTTCATACAAGCAGCAGAAGTCATGTATATGCTATAATCATGACAGATTTGTTCACAAAATGGATTGTGATTTTGCCTCTTTGTGATGTTTCAGCATCAGAAATTTCTAAAGCTATTATCAATATATTTTTCTTATATGGACCTCCTCAGAAAATAATAATGGACCAAAGAGATGAGTTCATTCATCAGGTAAGACAAACTACTTAGATCTAGGAGCATATTTTACTCACCTTTCAGTGAGCAGCACAACTTATATGGTACTTAATAAGTTTAGATAAATTCCTACAGATAGAGAGGTTTAATATTGTGTAGTACAAAGGTAGTTGTACTGGAAATTAAGGATTTTAGTAGTTACTGTGCCACTAAGTAATGGTAAACCTATCTTTAGTTTTCTTCAAACTAAAATGAGGAGGTTGGACCAAAGAGTCTTTTTTTGCTTCTAGCTTAAAAATTCTGTGATTGATATGTAGAGGGAGAATTGACTAAATGGAGAAATACAGTCATGTTCGTGCATGAGAATATTCAATATTGAAAGATACCAAATTTTCCCAAATCAAAATTAATTTATATGTTAATGTATTTCTAATCAGCATTAAAAAGGAGGGACCATTTTCCCTTGCCCTGGCCTTTATCCGGATTACAGTTAACCTGAAAGAATAAGCAGATAGGAATACATACAAAAATTCTAAAAAAGGAATATAACTACTATACTTAAGGCATATTATTAAATTTTTATAATTGACAGGGTACTGGTGTAAGAAAATAACCAGACTATCTAGGTTCACAGCACCTTTGATATCTCAGTCCAAAAGAAATACCTAAAATGATACTTATCAAATAGTTAGGGCTTGTGCCATGGGGTCCCTAAGGTTATCTTCAAGTTTTATAATTCACTAGGAGGACTCAGCAGATGGTCATACTATGGCTAAGATTTATTATAACTAAAGGATACAAAGCAAAATCAGCAGACAAAAGGCTCATGGGGATAAGTCCAGGGGAAACTAGGAACAAGCTTCTAAGACATCCTCTCCCAGTGTTGTAATCACACAGGACATGCTCAATTCTCCTAGCAGAGTTATAGCAACCCATGTAAATTGTTGTCTACAACAACACTGAGGCTCACTAGAGACTCAGTGCCTAGGATTTTCACTGGGAGCTGATCACATAAGCACCAAAAATTATAGATTCTCAAAAGAAAGAAGGTGTTCAGCATAAGCCACCTTGATTGTATAAACAGTTTAGGCACTGTGAGCCACCCTTAATCAGTTAGGGAATGGTGGAAACCCGCACGAAATCCAAGGTCCTAGACACCAGCCAAGGGCCAACTTTGTAAGCAGGACTTTCACAGGATAGCAGCCTTAGTTCTACTATGTTAACTCTTTTTCTGCACAGGTCCAAACAACTTAGTATTTATATCCTAACCACTTAGCCATTTAAAAAAAATAGTAGTCATAAATTGAAAGAAATAATATTTTCATTTCATTCTTTTCATTTTCATTTCATTTTCATTTCGTTCTTAAATAACCACAGTTAGTTACTAATGGGATGTGTATACCTGTTTACCACTGCTAAGCTTTTCAAACTTTGGAATCAGTTTGGACACTGCTATCCTCGTTTCCTGTTTTGCATTGATCTTTATACAGTCATTGCTTTTTATCATAGCACCTGTCAAAAAACAGTTCTGTAAAGATACAACATCATCAAAAGGAATGTAGTCTGATCTAATGTTGAAACCATAAACTACCTTAAGCTAGTAGTTTTCAAGGTGTCCAACACGTGTTAAGGAGGCCCTTTGGCACAGAGTTTAGTAACCATGTTTAAAATGATAGAGCTGGTATCATAAATGAGTGGAGTTAGGGAAGGATTATTTAATTAATTTAATTTAATTAACAGCATAGATAACAATTTTCTAATTATTTCTATTTATTTTTATATTATGATTTTAGAATTACTGCATACCAAAATTGTTTTCAGGTAAATTAAAATTTTTGGTTTTTTTAATTGAAACAAAAAAAATACAGTTGACTTTTTTTTTTTTTTTCAATCTCTAGAGACTGAGTTAACTTTCCAAGCTTAGGGAATAGTGGCATAAATTTAAAGGGAAAAATCACCAACTTTGGCTGTTTAAAAATTAGAAATTTATATGTGGTAAAATCACCAAAACATACAGGCCAAGAAATAGGCCAACAAAAATAAAGCACATTCATTCAGGAAAGGGCTAATGCCTTTATTATAAAAGATTCAAACAAATTAAAACAATGGCAGAAACGTAATTCACAAGAGGAAATAAAAATAATAAATATGGAAAAATGTTCAAACCCAATAGTAATCAGTAATGTAAATTAAGACCATTTTTTGTTTATCTAAATCAAGAAAAATAGTAGTAATACCAAAAATACCAAATAGACTACAGTTAAAATTATATAGCCTTACATTACAGGTAGTATAGCAACTTGAAAATAACTCTTGTAAAGCAGTCTGCCAAAGGTCCAGTAAGAGCCATATATATATATATATATATATATATATATATATAATCTTCTGGTGAACGATCCTATTTCTAAGAATTCTAAGGCGATTATCCAAAGTATAGAAAAATAGCTCTTTTATGATATTATTTACCACAATGCTATATATATTAACGATAAACAGGAAATGACCTAAATATCCAAATAAAGAAAGTGTTTCAGAAAAACGTCAAGCCACATGATGAAATATTTTGTAGTCATTAAAAATGTTTACAGGGGCTTCCCTGGTGGCGCAGTGGTTGAGAGTCTGCCTGCTGATGCAGGGGACACGGGTTCGAGCCCTGGTCTGGGAAGATCCCACATGCCGCGGAGCAACTAGGCCCGTGAGCCACAACTACTGAGCCTGTGCGTCTGGAGCCTGTGCTCCGCAACAAGAGAGGCCGCGATGGTGAGAGGCCTGCGCACCGTGATGAAGAGTGGCCCCCGCTTGCCACAACTTGAGAAAGCCCTCGCACAGAAACGAAGATCCAACACAGCAAAAATAAATAAAATAAATTAATTTACTATTTAAAAAAAAAAAAAATGTTTACAAAGAAAAGGAAATAACATGGACACTGATTAAAACATGTTCAGTTAAAACTCTGGATAAAATATTTTATTACATATATTATGTATACATATTTTACACAGATAACTATGTAAAAAATAGATGTAAAGAAACTAAAATTAAAATTTATATGGTTAACCATGGAGTTTTTAAGAGTAATGAGACTATAGGTTTTTTCCCTTAACTTTTCAGTTTATATGTTATCATTATGTTGTTTTTATAACTATTGGTGATTAAAATATACATAATCATCTGTTGTTTTGTGATATAAATTACTAGTGCTTAGCAATAACTAGTTCTCCTAGCCTTCCAAACATAGACAACTGTCCTAGCCTCTTGCAGGTGGGCAAGCCCAAGTAACACATCTGGGCAAAGAAGTTGAATGGATGAATGTGTGCCCCTTTCAGCCTGAGGTATTGAAAACTTCATCCTCAATTCTTCCTTCTCCCAGTCTTATTCTGTCTCTGGAGAATTAACTGCATATTTCAGATATTACCCTAAAGGGTAGTGGATTTTCTCTCATCCAGGATTTCTGAGGCACCTAGGTGCTTTGGAGAGACACCCTGACCTACAGCTGACCTTGTCTGAGCAAGTAGTAAAATTTTTGAGTTAAACCACTGAGCCTTGAATGTGTTTTGTAACTGCCGTATAATATTGCCTACCTTGACTGACATAGCAGTGGTCTGCAAAATGGGGTGTGCAAGACAGTCTAGTTTGTAGGATGACAATATTAGAACTTTTGTTTATAATTTTTATCTAATAAATAAGAAAGAAATGAAGATTTTACTAATAATATATAGAGATTCATAATAGCATCCTGAATCAACAAAGCAGATGATTGTGTCGCACATGGTACGGGAAGGTATCTTGGGAGAAAAGTGAGAATCTGCAACATGTGGGAGTCCATAGTGGTTCCCTCACTCATTCTTTTGCTTTAGCAGCAGTAATTAAATTTATGGATATTGTCCAGTTGCCAAACTACCCTTCATAGAATAACTAGGTGGCTTAATTTTCTTGCAGTGAAACAAGATCATACGAATAATAATGCAGTCACCTTTCAACCACAGGAAAAGGATAGAGCTGACACAAGTAACTTCTAGTACTAGCTCTTTCACAGATACATTAATGATATAAAAATAAATGTGGACTAATCAGATCTGATAGGAAATTGGCCACCAAAATTCAAAATTATCAAGAAATCTATTTGAAATATTGTCTTACTTTCACCTTTATTAATGAAAAGCCTCATCCTAAATGCATATAGTACTTCAAGATACTAGGTAATGACAATATGAAACCATTATGAATCACCAGCAGTCTTTCCAGTTATGTTTAAAGTCATGTGATATATGCATTATTGGTACTACGTATAAAATAGACAACCCGTGGGAACATACTGTGTAGCACAGGGAACTCTACCTAATGCACTGTGATAACCTAAATGGGAGGGAAGTCCAATAGAGAGGGGATATCTGTATGTGTATGGCTGATTCATTTTGTTGTGCAGTGGAGGCTAACACAACATTGTAAAGCAACCATACTCCAATAAAAATTAATTTTAAAAATAAAAAAGTCATATGATAATCCAAGACTTTGAAAATTTTACTAAAAGTAACAATAAATGTTTATAAGCCTCTTTTATGAGGTTTAACGAAAAAACTAAAAATCACGTGATTAAGAAAATTTGTTCTTTTTGCTGTGATTTAAATGGCTTAAATATTATACAGCAGGCATAATCGTGACAAAATAAAATGGGTTTTTTTGTCAGCATATACTGACCTAGGAAACACTGCTAAAGTATTGAAATAAGATTTAGAACATTATACACAATGTGGGAGGTTTATTATAAAGTTGATGAAAGTACAGATGTTTCTAACATAGCTTAGAGCATTTGAGTATTTGCTAAATTGTTTCAATAAAATACACAAAGACCTTTTTATAAACCTGTGAAGAAAAGAGAATTAACATTTGTAAAGGAAAAATTATTTCTTTAATTTTAAAAATGTGTCTTATGGAAAACTAAAATTGTGACCACTAATGGAATGTCTGGTTTGATGGGGAGAAAAAAAGGCTCTTGGGGTAAGGATATCTAGGTAGCATCTCACAAATGGATTCACTGGATCAGTTCTAGGCAAGCTCTTCAAACAAGTTGAAGCCTTTTCCAAAAGTCAGTCATTTTTAAAACCATTAATTATGACCTCAGGTTGAGGCTGACCCAAATGATACCTATGTTCTGGGATTTCTTTTAGATTACTTGTGATTTAAAAGGAGGTGGCCTAACATATATACATATATATAACATATATACAATGGAATATTACTCAGCCATAAAAAGAAACAAAATTGAGTTATTTGTAGTGAGGTGGATGGACCTAGAGTCTGTCATACAGAGTGAAGTCAGAAAGAGAAAAACATACCATATGCTAACACATATATATGGAATCTAAAAAAAAAAAAAAAGGTTATGAAGAACCTAGGGACAGGACAGGAATAATGACACAGATGTAGAGAATGGACTTGAGGTCACGGGGAGGGGGAAGGGTAAGCTGGGACGAAGTGAGAGAGTGGCACGGACTAATATATACTACCAAATGTGAAATAGGTAGCTAGTGGGAAGCAGCCACATAGCACAGGGAGAACAGCTCGGGGCTTTGTGACCACCTAGAGGGGTGGGATAGGGAGGGTGGGAGGGAGATGCAAGAGGGAGGAGATATGGGGATATATGTATAGCTGATTCACTTTGTTATAAAGCAGAAACTAACACACCATTGTAAAGCAACTATTCTCCAATAAAGATGTTAAAAAAAAAAAAGACGGCCTTAATTAGTACATATATTAGGTAGGAATTGTATTCCACTGCCAGTAACAGAGAACCCTTCTCTTCCCTCCAATAGGAGTTTATTTTATACTTAGGGAAAAGAAAGCCAGACTCTCCAGAGTTGGGAGGGTAACTCTGAATGTCATTGGGAACCCATGCTTCTAGCATTCTGTTCCACCATCTTTGAGATGTGACTCTCAATCTTATGCTTACAATATGGCATGCCACAAATTCTACATTTTTGGCAGAAAGAAGGGGGAGGTTAATGGACAAAAAAAGCTAGAACTAGCTGAGTCTGCCCAACAACTTTCACTTAAATCTTTTTGGCCAGAACTGTATCACTACCCCCACTACTATATACTACTATCTGACTACCCCAACTAAAAATAATAAGAAAAAATAGTTTGAGGTATAAATAAGGTAGGAAAAATAAGTTAACAGGCTTACTCTTAGAAGTTTTCTAAACTCATTTTGACTTATTAGGCCCTGCCCATAATAAATATAACAACAAAAATAATAGTAACATAAAGAGTTATAAAGTGCTTACTACTTGCCAAGCACTGTTTTAAGTGCCTTATAAACATTCATTTAATCCTCAAGAGAGTCATGGGTAGGATTTTCCTCATTTTACAGATGAAGAAACTGAGTACACAGAGGTTTGGTGATTTGGCCAAGGTCATGTAGCTGTTAAGTGGATTATGTTAACTGTGTTTGAGAAACTGTCTACTGAATTAAAATGTTATCTGAACTCAGAGTTAGTGTTAAATTCTGTTCTTCCATTTCCTTGCTGTATGTGTGTGTCTGGCAAGGCACTTAACCTCCCAGAGCTTCAGCTTCTTATCTTTAAAATGGGGTTAATAATATCTCATAAGATTTTTGTCATGTATAATGACTGTAATGTAAAGCATCAGCACATAGTAAGGACTCAATAAATGGTAGTTACTCTTTTAAACAAAATATGTATGTTTCATAAAGACTGGCTATGGTCAAGGAAAAGGCAAGATTCAAATTCTTTTGCAACCTTTCAATCCAGGGAAAAATAAAATACAGATTTTAAAATCAGGTTTGTTTTTTATATGTTTTTCAGATCAATGCAGAACTGTGTGAATTGTTTGGTACAAAGCAAATTGTAATTTCTCATGCCTCCCAAACTATTAATCCAACTGTAAGTACACCTAGCACAATCAAAACATTTCTTTCCAAACACTGTGCTGACTACCCAAACAACTGGGATGATCACCTAGCAGCTGTTTCATTTGCCTTCAATGTTACTCACTCGGTATGTACCTTTTTATAATCTGTACTTGTGAATTATGACTATTTCTTGGCTACATAAATGTTTTATTACAAATTGTTGTTTATTTTTCTTAATAGGAACCTACTAAAAATACACCGTATTTTCACATGTTTAATAGAAATCTTTACATGCCTGAGACTTCAGATATTCTTCGTGAAGTGGATGGTAATAATACAAGTATGTTTGCCAGAATTCTAGGTGCAATTAAAGAAGCTGATAAAATAATGGAGAATAAGACAACTTCACCGGGCCAGGTGATTCTATCTAATAGAAAAAAACTCTATAATCTAAAAATCTGTACAGTGATTTTTTTTTAATTTCAGCATACACTCACATACATATGATATACCCTAAAACCAAATTTCTTCCATTGAATTCTGCATGTTTTGATTAAACAGTATGTTTATTAGCTATGAAATTCTGAGAGACATTAATAGGAAAACTATGTGTTTTGGAATCAAGGTAGAGCTGAATTCAAATCCCTGGTTTTGCTTTCTAGTTGTTTAACTTGGGCATATTACTTTATCTCATATTACTTTATTTTCCTTATAAAGTTGAGGTAATAATACTGACTTTGAAATATTGTTTTAAAAAATTAAGTGGGATTCTTGCCTAGCTTTCAGTAGCATCTCAATAAGTAATCTTTTTATTATAATATTATCTGTATATACCTTCAAGAAACTCTAGCTCTTTCATCCCTTTGTTCTTTTTTTTGTTTTTACACTTGCAGATGGAGAACAACAGTTGTGATGAACTAAATAAAAGCAAAATCATTGTTAAAAAGAAACCAAAGCAATTAAATCCATTTCATCTAAAAGTGGGTCATGAAGTTTTAAGACAAAGGAAAAACTGGTGGAAGGATGGTCGTTTCCAATCTGAATGGGTTGGTCCTTGTGTCATAGACTATATTACAGAAAACGGATGTGCTGTTCTGAGAGACAACACTGGGACAAGACTTAAAAGACCCATCAAAATGTCCCACCTCAAGCCCTATGTAAGAGAATCCAGTGAACAAGGTAAATATCTGTCACTTCTCTACATTTTTACTTTTTTTGAATGGAGAAGTTAAAAATATAAGAAATCTCCCCCCCGCCCCGCACCCCTTCTTTGGTTAGTTTTTCTTTTCCCTTCTCATTTTTATAAAATTTTGTACAGTACTGGAGCCCAGGTAGTCTTTTTTATAAGCATGTGTCTTCTGGAACTGTCAGGTTTGTAAGAGATTTTATCTTGATTTCTAGTGTACTTTTCACACACTTTCCCACAGTTCATTTGGGAGACACTGAACGTGTTTCACAGAAGGAAGAATTATATCTTCATTATTTTCACTTTCAGCATATTTTGTCACTTTTAGCATGAAATGATAGTAACTAAGATAAATAATACCAAAAACAAACATACTGTCTAGAATTCTGTTGTGAGATGAATATATTAGGGGACATTTTAAAATGTGATTAATTTTTAATGTTGCATCTTAGTCACAGTCATGGTGGATGCAGGGGAGGGTGAGAGTGGGAGATACTCAGAATGCTATAAAGTGCCATTATAAGAAGAGATAAATAGCACACTGGACAAGGTAATACTTGCCTCAAAATGTGATTACAAATAGTCAAGATATCCTGATCTTCTCTAACCCTTTGTTTCATAGACTGGAGCTAAATGACATGGCTTTCAGATTAAATCCCACTTTATGTCCTATTTTATGTGCTCCCTAGAGTTTCTTTGGAGTGGATAACTTTGAGGGAGTGAATTGGTACCTTAGCTAGTTAATTTTGTTTTTTCTATAAAGAAAGATAAAGCATCAATATTATTTGAATCTGAGTAGCAGTTAAGGAAGATACAATTTAGTACATTTTTAAACAATATAAACAACTGAGTTATTTAACAGGCTTAAGTAAATAATAATTACAAAAATGATGATAATAGATAATCCTCTTTCTTAGGATATGAAGCCCTTGGGGCTGCTTTGTAATAGCTCAACTCTGTTTCTGATCTGGGTCACAACTCTCATGTTAAAAGCTCTGAGTACCTTCCTTTCTGCTTATGGCAGAACCAGTTGCTCTAGTAGTAAACTTAGCTTGGATTTTTCCAATTCAGAAAGCTCACAGTAGTACCTTCATTCTCGTTGTTAGAAGATAAGCACTTTTATTCCTTGTGCCTCCTCTTAGTTCTAAGCTGCCCTTTATGATTTCTCCCTTCTGCAAGTTAAGTAGGAACAAAAGATTATACAGGTGCATGTTGTCCTTTCTTCTTCTTTTGATTTTCCCCTTAATCTTCGGCATTCAGGACTTGCTCCCTTCTAATGTGTTAACCTTCCTTAATTAATACAAAATTTCTGCTTAAAATGTTGCTGTATCAGGGTCTGTTTCAACATTTTGCAATTTGCTCTTGCCGAAGAATTTCTTAAGGAGACCTAACATTTTGCTACTGCTGAATATTTCAGAATCCAATTGAATAGAACAGTTTCTAAACAGAGGCAGTACAATTATTGCCTCGTGCTTGAATTCTCTGCAGATTATTCTTCCAGTAATACAAAGGAAATTGCAGTATTAGTACTAGTGTATACATATAAGGAACCTGAGATTGATGGGTAAAATTGTTTTTTCTTATTAATCAAAGGAAGTACTAATCTAGCTATCCTAGATCTGGTTCTTGTTTACTCTTTGGTCCGTTTTTGTCTGTTTTTCTTATTTGTAGAAAATTCAAAATAAATGTGATTTCTATCACATATTTTCCTGAAAATCTTCACCTCAAAAGCTGATTTTAAAGAGTCTTTGAACTGAATTTAAACCAAACAAAATGTCTTTGAATAGTCATCCCATTCTTTTGACATAAATTTGAACAAGGTATAACCAAAAGAACTATGAATTTCTCTGCATTGTTGCTCTTACCAGCATTGAGATTTCATAGCTGTATTAAAGTTCACTGTACAAAGCAGATATGCTTCTGTTGCAAACTTATCCATTCTTATCTAGAACATAATGTTGAGGGAGCACATTCAGTACTAGGTTGACATTGCTATTTTAAGCAGGCCTATTTGCCTTTTTGTCTAGTTCAGTGCCAGGCACCTTTTCAAGACTAAGTATTTTAACAAGAAATTTTTGACATACCATAGTGTCTCTTCATAATCGCAATGCTTCCCTTTGAAAGGAAAAATGTTATTGACCCATTATTCTGTCTGACATAGATTTTGAGTAGTTTTGTTTTGAGTGGGAATTATTGTGATCAGTTTGTGTCTGCCTCCCCTAAAGGCTTTGGTCTGATTGCCCTTCACAGTTTGTGAAATGGTTTTTATTCTTTTATAAGTTTCCTATTGCTGCCATAACAATTTACCACAAATTTAGTGGCTTAGAACAACACAAGTTTATTATCTTACAGTTCTGTACTTAGAAATCCAATGTAGGTCTCATTGTGCTAAAATTGAGGCATTGGCAGGGCTGTGTTCCTTCCTGGAGGCTCAAGAAGATGGTGTTTCTGTGCATTTTCCACCTTCTAGAGGCTGTTCCCATTGCTTGGCTGTGGTCCTCTTCCTCTATCTTAAAAGCCAGCAGTGGGGCTAGAGTTATTCTCACATTACATCACTCCATCCTCCTATTCTTCCTTCCCCTTCCACGTTTAAGGACTCTTATCCTTGGGCCCATCCTGATAATCCAGGATAATCTCCCTGTTTCAAGGTTGGTTAGCAACCATAATTCTGTCACTACCCTAATTCTCCTTTGCCATGTAAGGTAACGTAATCACAAGTTTCATGAATTAGTACATGGCTATCTTTAGGGGTCCATTATTCTGCCTACCACAATTATGGTCTACATTCACAAAACAAAATAAAGCTTAGTCCCTATATTAGTATCAAGCCCATGAGCTTGACTTTATTATTAATACACAGTCATCAGTTGGTATCCACAGGGGATCAGTTCCAGGAGCCCTGTGGATACCAAAATCCGCTCATGCTCAGGCCCCTTACATAAAATGGCATAGTACAGTACCCCCAACCTTTATCCCCTACCCCACCTGCACATCCATGGATCCGAACCCTGGGATATGGAGAGCCAGCTGTAGTTTTAGCAAAGCACCTCCCTTTGGCCTCTAATTATGTAATCTCAAAGTTAAAAGTCATTCAGTTCTCTGTGTTAGTGTAGGTTATCTATTATGACAGTTATGTGGTATGTATCAAATTGTAGTTATTTGTTATTTTATCATAAGAAAAGATGTATGGCAACACATTTGTAATAGTTTTAGGATATCAGGCCATGTATAGGATTAGTCAAAGACACCTCACTTCACAATAAGAAAATTAATTATTCTGAAACCTTGTACTTTTCTTTCTATTTGAAAAAATAAATTAATCCAATCACTCAGACTTTTCTGAGGCTTTGGTTTTAACTTATTTTTCTCCCTAGGGAAATTTTAATACTCTTAATCTCATTTTTTTTCTCCTTAAAACTAAATAAGAAAAAGTATGTCAAAACTGCTGATAACACCTTCCTGAAATGTCTTGAAAATACCTCTGCTTCTAAGAAACTAAAGTATTCAGTCCAGTCAAAACTGAAATAATGCTTTCATCAAACATGTCATAATAGTAAACTAAATAAATAGAATGAGAAAATTAAAATAATTAAATTCTATCGTGTAATGTGACTGAGTAGAAAAGTCCTTTAATATGGTTTTGTTTGTTTATTTCTCTGTCTTTTTATCTTGGGTGCAAAAACTTACCTTGTTCTTTTCTATATCCCTAACTCAGGATTGTTCTAGATCAGTACTGTCCAATGGATATGTAATGCAAAAACTATGTAATATATAATTTAAAATTTTCTAATAGCCATGTTTAAAAAGTAGGTGAAAAAAATTTTAATGATATATTTTATAGTTACCCAGTATATCTAAGATAGCATTATTTCAACATGTATGTAAGGCCTCAAAAGTCTCTTTCTGGTAAGTCTTTGGTAATCTTTTTCGAAGTTAAAGAGCATTTCTCTTGGGTCCACTAGATTTAGAACATAGTAGGAATTGAAACATATTTGACCTTTATGAATGAATGAGAATTTTGTTTTTTCCTACACAAAGAAGGCTTGAAATCTCCAGAGTAGTTTTCCATTGCATATAGAGTGATTTGTGTAGAATTTGCTGAGTATAATCTTTATTCTCTACAGTTTGATCACAGTAAGTTACTTTAAAGTTTATTTAAAAGGAAGTGTGTGTGTGTATGTGTATTCAGATATATATTGGTTACTTTCATATAGAAGCTGTCCTCTTACAAACAGGTGAGGTTGGTAAAGTCCATTTGTTTCTAAGTCTACTGTAATTAGGAGGTGCTTACGCTCAAGGTCTTTGAATACATTTGCAGGAAATCAAAGTGATAACTTCTAAGAGGTTTACATCTATCCATAGTTTCCCTGTTGATACTGGACATATTTTACTACAATAGACCTGCTTTCTATATGGAAAAAAAATTTTGAGACAGAAAACTTCCTTCATCAAAGATCTCTGCAAAGATCCAATTTGGAAATACTTTAAATGCTATATTGTAGCTGCTGTCACTAATACATTGCAGCAGTGTACCCTGAACTTATGAAATTCTTCATGGCTTATTAGAAAAATTTCATCAGCAACATTTTTACCATACCTAACCTTTTTAAGTTCTCTTTTAAATTGCAACCTATCTTTCTCTAGTATTAACAAGCTAATAGCAAACTTTGATGTTGAAGCTCTAGCAACACATTCTAAAAGTGTTTCAATTTCACTGATCATTTTTTCTTCTTTCCTGCTACTCTTGGGCATAGCACTTCTCATGGGTTGCATGATTTTTTTATCTTTCAGACTTGTTCTCTTGTTCAGCATTTCATCCCCTACTAACATACAAAAATCGTTTTCTTATCACCTTCAATTACCCATACTTTTATTTCCATTATAAGTATGTGTATCTTCTTAACAGCATTTTCAATCTAATTACTACTTTTGCATTAATAAGAATTGGTGGGGTTAAACTTAGAAAGCCTCTCAAAACTAAAATACCAACTACACTTTGCCTAATGAAGAAGTAAATGGGCAAAACTAAATGTCCATACAAGCCCAAGTCTACTTATGCCATCTGTTGGGAGAGAGCATAGCTTTGTTTGATCTTTTTTTTTTAATATTCTTTTAAGTTTATTTATTTATTTATTTATTTTGGCTGCGTTGGGTCTTCATTGCTGTGTGAGGGCTTTCTTTTAGTTGCAGCGAGTGGGGGCTACTCTGTTGCAGTGCACGGGCTTCTCATTGCGGTGGCTTCTCTTGTGGAGCACAGGCTCTAGGCGCGCATAGTTGTGGTTCACAGGCTCTAGAGTGCAGGCTCAGTAGTTATGGCACACGGGCTTAGTTGCTCTGCGGCATGTGGGCTGTTCCCGGACCAGGGCTCGAACCCATGTCCCCTGCATTGGCAGGCGATTCTTAACCACTGTGCCACCAGGGAAGTCCTGTTTGATCTTTTGATGTTTGTAAATTTAAAATTCATAAATGTGTAACTTATAGGGTTGGAATAGATTCAGTTAGCTTTTCACATATTAGTATGAGGATGGGTAGGGTGGAATCATGTTCTGCGATATATTAGCAAATTTATCTGCTCTGAGAAACTTTCATTGATCTCTAATCTAAATGGATAATTAATGTTCCTTTTGCTATTTATTGAACTTAAAATTTGAGGATTCTTTAAGGTATGAAAATCTTTAAGAGAATCTGTTAATGTTTTGGGAGAAAATCCAGAAAGAGAAGGCAGGGGTCCAGGAAGTTAATCAGCGGCGGTGGAATAGTTCTTTGTTGTAATGAATTAAAATATTATGTAGGGAGAATTTCTTTTATATGATTAACCTTTATTTATAAAGATGATGCTGCTTTGCCATGTGTTTTTCATTTATAGCATTTTTTTCCTGATAGTGATGATAAATTTGCTCAAAATAGAATGAAATGCTGACAAGGAAGATTCCTCATCGCATTTTAGTATGGATTTAGCTACACCTTAAAAGGTCATGAGCATTTTCATATTAAATTAGACTTAAGTAAGCTAAGCTTTTTAATCTAATTCATTGTAGCCTGCCTACTTTCACATTCCTATTATATAAGCCTGATTCTAGGAACTTAATCTTCATTTTAGTTTATCATTTCATATTGTGACAATTTAATATTATTGCCCTAATGTGGATTCTATAAAGACCAGAGAATTATCTAAAGTTGTAAATGTAAGGATTTAACAATTCCATTTGTTAAAACATCTTTTGAGACCCCGTTAATTTACCCAGAAATGCTTTGCAGAAGTATATTAAGAATATCATCAACATCAAAAATATAGTTTTATAACTTTTGTTTTTAATCTATACCATGATTCTCAGCCCCTCACCCACACCTACCACCCCCTCCACCCACACCTACCAAACACAGGTCAAGAGAATACTCTGTAATGGCCAAATGGGAAAAGAATCCAAAAAAGAGTGGATATATGTGTATGTATAACAGATTCACTTTGCTGTACACCTGAAACTAACACAACATTGTAAATCAACTATACCCCAATAAAATTTTTTTTTAATTCTATAAAAAAAAAAAATCCCTTTATATTATTCCTATTTTTTTTAATTGGAAAAAAAAAGTTTGGCTCTTTTAAAATCCTTGATCTTTCCTGAATTCTGTATGTATGCACTGTCAAATTCATATATCAATTTATTCATTCTTTGACATATTTATTTAGGAGATACGAGAACCCACCAGAAATTAATCTTGATAGTTAATTTATATTACTTGGGATTTTGTTCCTTATTTAACATTATTTAATTTTAAAGTGATTTAATTATAATTCTAAAAGGCAAACTTATGTTTCTTCTTTCAGACAGTCTTTATCTCTTACAAGGTTCAGTTGTGGCAGACCATGACTATATTGGAATGCCTGAAATTTCAGTTGGCGCATACCAAGCAAATATTCTGGTAGAAGATGCAACTATTGGAGTAGTCGACAATGAATTACTGACATCAAGCAAGGATCGTGAACTGTTAGAATATAGAAATGCCAAAATCTCTCCCTTGATAGAAGATCATAGTACTCTTGAAAAGCAGACTTTTAGTCTCTTGGACTCTTCAAACCAAGTCCTTGAGTACTTAAGTTAGTGAACACCAAAATTCATTTAAAGTGCTTGTTTAGAAAGTATATCTCCTTGAATCTTGTTATCTTTTCCATTCAAAAAGGTTACTTAGAAAAAGTATCTTGACAAACTCTTAATGACTAAATCCTGAAGATTTATTTTATAACTATTTATTTATCTAAAGTTGTGCCTCATTTGAATGTCAGTGCATATATATATATATAGATATATAGATATATAGATATAAAGGCAAAGGAAGTATATTACATAGATGTCATTTTTTCTTCTAAAAAGAGAACAGGCAAAGCATGCTTGCTTCTTAGGAAGTAAACTAAATTCTAGCTCAAAACTCTCAAAACTTTGTTTGATATTGGTACCATGTTTTCAGTTTTAATTTTTTTCTAATATTCCCCCCTTTTAAAAAATAAGTTTGAACTACCTAGAATTGCATTAATAAATATTTATTAAATGTGATAAATGAAACCTCTTTCTGTGTCATTGGAACTTCTAAAAACAATATTGTAGGAAAAAATTTAGAGTTGTTTAATGGGCCCCTACAGTGTATTGGTAAGTTCACCTTGTTAGACAGGCTCAGGATTAGGATCTGAAACTATATATTGGTTTGAAAACATTTGTGCATTTCAATAGTATATATTAAAGTCAGAAGCATCCATTCATAAGATTTTTTTCTGCAGTCTTAAGTAAATAATAATTATAAAATAACTGATATCAAAGATTTTAAACTATAATTTCTATGATAGTTATAACTGTTCAACAAATATTTGTTATAAAGCACTTTGAAGAATACTGTGGGAAAAATAAATGCTGTGTGTGCCTTGTCCCCAAGAGAGACATACAGTCCAGTAGGGAATATAGATCATATAAGCCATGTACAACAGTAGTTACAAGTTATGTGCTAAGTTCCATAAGAAAAGTGCAAATAATATATTTAGGGGGAAGAAAAGAAAGAGTTTATTTCTGGGTAGGAAACTTAGGCTATTAATGGAAGAAGGATCTTTTTTTTTTTTTTTTTTTTTTTTCTTGCGTTATGCGGGCCTCTCACTGTTGTGGCCTCTCCCATTTGCGGAGCACAGGCTCCGGACGCGCAGGCTCAGCGGCCATGGCTCACGGGCCCAGCCGCTCCGCTGCATGTGGGATCTTCCCGAAACGGGGCACGAACCCGCGTCTCCTGCAACGGCAGGCGGACTCTCAAGCACTGCGCCACCAGGGAAGCCCCAAGAAGGATCTTTTGAGCTTGACCCTGAAGAATGAATAGGATTTGGTGAGAGGGTCCAAAAAATTAGAGGAAAAGAAATGCACAGAGACAGAAAGTATTGTAATGATTTACAGAAAGGCAGGGCTTTTCGTTGTCTACATTACCTCCAGTGTAAGGTGAAATGGTAAGGTATGGGGAGATAAAGCTGAAGGGGAAGTAGGAAACCTTATGGAGGGCTTTGAATACTGTTAGGGGTTGAATTGTGTCCCCCTCCCTCCAGATTCACATGTTGAAGTTCTAAACCCTAGTACCTTAGAATGTGACCTTATTTGGAAACAAGGTTATTGCAGATATTGATTAGTTAAGATGAGGTCATGTTGAAGTAGAGTGGGGACTAATCCAGTATGACTGATATCCTTACAAGAGGGGGAAATTTGGTCATAGAGTCAGGGAGAATGCCATGTGACGATGAAGGCAGAGATCAGGGTAATTCATCCACAAGCCAAGGAATGCCAGAGATTATCAGAAAACCACCAGAAACTAAAGGAGAGGCATGGAATAGACTCTTCCTCAGAGCCCAGAGAAGGAAGCAGCCCTGTCAACACCTTCATTTCAGCTTTGTAGCCTCCAGAACTGTGAGACAGTATCTTTTGTTTAAGTCACCAGGTTTGTGGCACTTTGTTTCAGCAGCCCTAGCAAAGTAATATAAATACCTAGTTAAATTATTTTTTATTTTCTGAGACCCATTGAAGGTCTTTGTATAGGGAAGTGTCATCAGGACTATGCTTTAGGAAGTTTAATCTGGCAACTAGTAAAGAACTGATTAGAGGAGGAGAGAAGGAAAGCATGGAGGATTAGTTGTTATGACTTTGAAGTGATGATGAATAATAGGAACCTGAACTATTCCAGTAGCATTAGTAATGAATGGAGCATATCTCAAGATCTACAGAATATCTCATATTTTTTGCATCAACCATACTGAACAGTGATATTGAAAATGGAAACCTGAGGTGAGTTATTACAGTTATTCATTTAAGAAAGGTTAAATTATGTTTAATATAGGCTAAAGGAAAAGTGATTGGGGGAAAGAAATCAAGGAATCCATCTTATACCACAGACCAAATGAATTCCAAGTAGAATTCCAGAAACAAACCTTAAGAAAACAGAAGCTGAACCAAGATGGCAGGGTAGAAGAATGTGCTTTCACTCCCTCTTGTGAGAACACCAGAATCACAGCTAGCTGCTGGACAATCAGCAACAGGAAGACACTGGAACTCACCAAAAAGATACCCCACATCCAAAGACAAAGGAGAAGCCACAATGCGACAGTAGGAGGGGCGCAATCACAGCAAAATCAAATGCCATAACTGCTGGGTGGGTGACTCACAGACTGGAGAACATTTATACCACAGAAGTCCACCCACTGGAGTGAAGGCTCTGAGCTCTATGTCAGGCTTCCCAACCTGGGGGTCTGGCAACGGGAGGAAGATTTCCTAGAAAATTGGACTTTGAAGGCTAGTGGGATTTGACTGCAGGACCTTGACAGGACTGGGGGAAACAGAGACTCCACTCTTGGAGGGCACACACAAAGTAGTGTGTGCATCAGGACCCAGGGGAAGGAGCAGTGACCCCAGGGGACACTGAACCAGACCTACCAACTAGTGTTGGAGGGTCTCCTGCAGAGGTGGGGAATGGCTCTGTCTCACTGTGGGGACAAGGACACTGGCGGCAGAATTTCTGGGAAGTACTCCTTGGCATGAGCTCTCCCAGAGTCTTCCATTAGCCCCACCAAAGAGCCCAGGTAGGCTCCAGTGTTGGGTTGCCTCAGGCCAAACAAACAACAGGGAGGGAGCCCAGCCCCACCCATCAGCAGTCAAGCAGATTAAAGTTTTACTGAGCTCTGCCCACAAGAACAACGCCCAGCTCTACCCACCACCAGTCCCTCCCATCAGGAAACCTGCACAAGCCTCTTAGACAGCCTCATCCACCAGAGGACAGACAGCAGAAGCAAAAAGAACTACAATCCTGAAGCCTCTGGAACAAAAACCACATTCACAGATAGACAAGATGAAAAGGCAGAGGGCTATGTACCAGATGAAGGAACAAAATAAAACCCCGGAAAAACAACTAAATGAAGTGGAGATAGGCAACCTTCCAGAAAAAGAATTCAAAATAATAATAGTGAAGATGATCTAGGACCTTGGAAAAACAATGGAGGCAGAGATCGAGAAGATGCCAAAAATGTTAAAGACCTAGAAGAATTAAAAAACAAACAAACAGAGATGAACAATACAATAACTGAAGTGAAAACTACACTAGAAAAAATCAATAGCAGGATAACAAGCAGAAGAACGGATAAGTGACCTGGAAGACAGAATGGTAGAATTCACTGCTGCGGAACAGAATAAAGAAAAAAGAATGAAAAGAAATGAAGACAGGGCTTCCCTGCCGATGCAGGGGACACGGGTTCATGCCCCGGTTTGGGAGGATCCCACGTGCCGTGGAGCGGCTGGGCACGTGAGCCATGGCAGCTGAGTCTGTGCATCCGGAGCCTGTGCTCTGCAGTGGGAGAGGCCACAAGAGCGAGAGGCCTGCATACCACAAAAAAAAAAAAGAAATGAAGACAGCCTAAGAGACCTCTGGGACAACATTAAATGCAACAACATTCACATTATAGGGGTCCCAAAAGGAGGAGAGAGAAAGGACTCAAGAAAATATTTGAAGAGATTATAGTCAAAAACTTCCTTAACATGGGAAAGGAAACAGCCACCCAAGTCCAGAAAACGCAGTGAGTCCCATACAGGATAAACCCAAGAAGAAACACACCGAGACACATAGTAATCAAATTGGCAAAAATTAAAGACAAAGAAAAATTATTGAAAGCAGCAAGGGAAAAGCAAGAAATAACATACAAGGCAACTCCCATAAGGTTAACAGCTGATTTCTCAGCAGAAACTCTACAAGCCAGAAGGGAGTGGCATGGTATACTTAAAGTGATGAAAGGGAAGAACCTACAACCAAGATTACTCTACCCGGCAAGGATCTCATTCAGATTCAATGGAGAAATCAAAAGCTTTACAGAAAAGCAAAAACTAAGAGAATTCAGCACCACCAAACCAGCTCTACAACAAATGCTAAAGGAACGTCTCTAAGTGGGAAAGAAAAGAGAAGAAAAGAACCTACAAAAACAAACCCAAAACAATTAAGAAAATGGTCATAGGAACATACATATTGATAATTACCTTAAACGTGAATGGATTATATGCTCCACCCAAAAGATACAGGCTGCCTGAATGGATACAAAAACAAGACCCATCTATATGCTGTCTACAAGAGACCCACTTCAGACCTAGGAACACATACAGACTGAAAGTGAGGGGATGGAAAAAGATATTCCATGCAAATGGAAATCAAAAGAAAGCTGGAGTAGCTATACTCATATCAGATAAAATAGACTTTAAAGAATGTTACAATAGACAAGGAAGGACACTACATAATGATCAAGGGATCAATCCAAGAAGAAGATATAACAATTATAAATATATATGCACCCAACACAGGAGCACCTCAATACATACGGCAACTGCAAACAGCTATAAAAGAGGAAATGGACAGTAACACAATAAGAGTGGGGAACTTTAACACCTCACTTACACCAATGGACAGATCATCCAAAATGAAAATAATAAGGAAACAGAAGCTTTAAATTACACAATAGACCAGATAGATTTAACTGATACTTATAGGACATTCCATCCAAAAACAGCAGACTACACTTTCTTCTCAAGTGCGCACAGAACATTTTCCAGGATAGATTACTTCTTGGGTCACAAATCAACCCTCAGTAAATTTAAGAAAATTGAAATCATATCAAGCATCTTTTCTGACCACAATGCTATAAGATTAGAAATGAATTACAGGGGAAAAGACCGTAAAAAACACAAACACATGGAGGCTAAACACTACGTTACTAAATAACCAAGAGATCACTGAAGAAATCAAAGAGGAAATCAAAAAGTACCTAGAGACAAATGACAATGAAAACACAACAATCCAAAACGTATGGGATGCAGCAAAAGCAGTTCTAAGAGGGAAGTTTATAGCTATACAAGCCTACCTCAAGAAACAAAAAAAATCTCAAAATCTAAACTTATACCTAAAGGAACTAGGAAAGAAGAACAAACAAAACCCAAAGTTAGCAGAAGGAAAGAAATCATAAAGATCAGAGCAGAAATAAATGAAATAGAAACAAAGAAA